TCTGTTTGCTAGAAGTCTTCGGTAAAATAAGGAAAACAAACAAGAGACGCCGGATTGTTCTTTATCATGACAATGCGAGCTCTTACACATCGGCTCAAACAAGCACTCAAAACATCAAATTGATGGGTCATCTGCCGTACAGCCCTGATTTGGCACCCAATGATTTCTTTTTGTTCCCATCCGTGAAGAATAAACTACGTGGTCAACGATTTTCATTGCCCGAAGAAGCTATTGAAGTGTTCAAAAATCATGTTTTGGAGATACCTCATTCGGAATGGAATAAATGCTTTGAAAATTGGTTTAAGCGTATGCAAAAGTGTATCGATCATCGTGGCGAGTACTTTAAAAAACAATAAAAATATATTCGCAGCTTAACTTTTGTTTTTGTTCTTATTCCCGAAATATAAATAGTAACCCTCGTAACTGTTACATTGCTATAATAAAACGGAAGTAACAGGTAATATAACGTGGACGTTATATGTTACATCCATGTTAGTTGTAATTTCCCATTCATAAATGTAACATTTTAATATAACAATTACATTGTAGTTATATTGTAATATATACCAAATAGCACATTGATGTATTGATAAGTCAGTGCTATCTTGGGATATAATGACAATATAACTACAATGTAATATATGTTATATTAAAAATGTTACATCTATGAGTGGGAAATTACAACTAACATATACGTTACATGTAACATGCTTGAATACTTACATGTATATAATATTTATATACCGTGTTTGCTGGGTTAATACATCAATGTGCTATTTGGTATATAATTACAATATAACTACAATGTAATATATGTTATATTAAAATGTTACATCTATGAGTGGGAAATTACAACTAACATGGATGTTACATGTAACGTACACGTTTATTACCTGTTACATTCCATTTTATTATAGCAATGTAACAGTTATATATCGGTGTTTACTGGGTGCACATATATGTGATTATATTATTAGACATGTGGTGTGTGTGCGGTGTGTGTTATATATATATATATATATATATATATATAACAATAAAATATTTAATTTCGTTCGCCAGGAATGAAATACTAAGGTAGTAGATATTAAACTGACTACACTGGCTGTCTATTAGATTTGTTAAACTATATTTATTGACGTTTCGACCATACGGGCTGTGGTCCTTTCAAAATTACAATAGAAACATTCTAGAAATTAATGTACATGCAATCAGAATCAACATTTAAATTGAAAACGTGAAATGTAAAAATGAGACTTACAATGAGTTACTGCATATCGTTATTGACATTTAAAAGTACGCTCGGTGAGACTTAACTTAGATCGGATGGTAAATTAACTGCGTTTCACTTGTGTTCATCTTGCCACGACTGAGCACGCTGTACTAACGAATAAAACACGCCGAAAATTATGTCAAAGTTAAAAGTTAACAATATTTACATTCTCGCTAAATTGTGATGTACCATATGGCAAATTACTAAAATAAAATATAAAAATATAAAATAATAAAAAGATAAATAAATAAATAAATAGACATATTCGGGCTATTAGTAGTTTATTATTGGTAGGTTAAGGCAGGATGACATAAGCGAACCGAATATGTCTATTTATTTATTTATTTATCTTTTTATTATTTTATATTTTTATATTTTATTTTAGTAATTTGCCATATGGTACATCACAATTTAGCGAGAATGTAAATATTGTTAACTTTTACCTTGACATAATTTCGGCGAATTATTCGTTAGTACAGCGTGCTCAGTCTTGCAATATGATACAAGTAAAACGCAGTTAATTTACCATCCGATCTAAGTTCCCACACAGCATATATGTCAGAAAGATCTCTTTAAGATATCTTTTTAAAGGTAACTTTTTGAGGAATGAAAAAAGATATCTATTAGATAAATATATTAAGATGTCCATATCAAGAGATCTAAAAGATATCTTGTTTGAGAAGTGTCTTACATAAGATATCTAAAAGACATCTTTTGTAGGAAGTCTATTAAAATCTCTTCATATTGACATCATAATGTCATCTTGAAAGTGATAAATTTGTAATATAAATGCGCATGCGCACTGTAGTAGTGTAGATAACCTTAAAAAATAATACAACAACGCGGTGTGTGTACGTGCATGAAATAATTTGTTGGACTTATTAATCAAGTTTAAAGAAAAATTTACAAGTACAATTAAGTATCATTTTTCATTGGGTCACTAATTATCTATTATATTTCGAAAAATCATAATAAGTATATTAATATTACTGCAATTAATATATTCAGGGTGTCCCATTTTAACTCACGGATGAAATAATATTGTATGGCTTATTCAAAGGGGACATAAGATTATAGTGGCATTTATTTGACCTTGGATAATTGTTTGAAGGTCACGTGAAGGTCACCTTCAATTTTTAAAATGTTAAAACAAAAATTATTTAAACATTTATCTAAAAGCCAAAAAAATAGACGCCTAAAAAAATGTGTAATTCTTTGGACAATAATGAAAATAATTCAGTATTAATAACATGCAAAAATATAAAATGTGGCAAAACAATAGGAGAAACAATAAATAATTTCGAATTTCAAGATGATAAATCTTCTACTTCTTCTTCTTCTCTTTATGACTGGTTGGAAGATGATAAAAAATCTATCAATCATGTCTTAGAAGAATCAATAAATTGCATAGATATTAAAAATAATTACAATGATTTTCTAAGTGACTCATCAATAGATGAAATTCAGATTAATACAGATAATTTTTTTGAAAATAAAAAATCTAAAAATTTTAATAAAGTAATGGCACGTTGGGTATGTAGTTATGGTATAACCCATGAAGCAACCGGCGCTCTTCTAAAAATATTAAAAAATGTAGAATTAGATGAATTACGCAATTTGCCTTTAGATCCACGAACTTTACTTGGAACCCCAAAATCAACAATAATTCGTAGTGTACCACCAGGTGAATATTTTCACTATGGTTTAAAAAATGCCTTGCTTGATCAATTGAAAATTATTGATATCGACAGAATATCTACTAATATTCAGATAAATATAAATATTGATGGGTTGCCAATAGCCAAAAGTTCAAAAAGTCAACTTTATCCCATTCTGGGAGAAATGTATCCAAAAATTGCTGAGCCATTTGTAATTGGAGCTTATCATGGAAATGAGAAACCTAATTCCTGTAATACATTTCTGAGAGAATTTATTGATGAATATAACGTTTTACATCAGAGTGGATTTTATTATTGCAACCAAAAATTCACAATTACAATTAGAGCTGTAATTTGTGACAGTCCAGCACGGTCTTTTGTTACATGCACAAAAAGTCACAATGGTTACTTTGGATGTGGAAAATGTAGAGAAGAGGGAAATTATAATAATCATCGTATGTTATTTTTGAATTCAAATGCGGCTTTAAGAATAGATGAAAACTTTATCCAACGTATTGATGAAGAGCATCATTTTGGAACATCACCGTTTGAAGAAACAGGTTTAGGGATGGTTTCGCAATTCCCACTTGATTACATGCATCTGATTTGCCTCGGAGTTGTAAAAAAAATCTTACAAACTTTTACACATGGCTCTCATAAACAAAAGTTTTCTGCTAAAATGATCAAAGAAATATCTGCAAATTTAAAAACAATAGCCAAATGGATTCCATCTGAATTTGCAAGAAAAACTCGTGAATTAGAAAATTTGGATCGATGGAAAGCGACTGAATTAAGATTATTTTTATTGTATGTAGGTCCAGTTGCTCTACAAAATTATTTACCAAAGAAATATTTGATCCATTTTATTTCATTACATTGTGCAATCAGGATTCTTTGTCACGAAACAGATTGCAAAAGAAATAATAAATATGCGAAAGATTTATTGAATTATTTTGTGGAAAAATGTATTGAATTGTTTGGTACTAATTTTTTGATATATAATACCCACAATTTAATTCATTTAGCCGATGATGTTTTAAAATTTGGTCATCTCGATTCATTCAGTGCTTTTTCATTTGAGAGTTATTTATATAATATTAAAAAAAAACTTAAAAAAGCAGAAAAACCTTTACAACAGCTACACAATCGAATTGTAGAACATGTTGCATGTAATTTAAAAAAAAAGATTATTTTTTTCGAGAAACCTAAAGTGATGTGTAAAAATAATAAAAAATCCGAGGAACTTGGTATTGCTTCATATAATACTATACATTACAATAAATTTACACTATCAACAATAAATAAAGCGGATCAGTTTTGTTATTTGCAAGATGACACTATTGTACGCGTTAAAAATATTTGTTTAAATAATGACAATCCTATTTTAATTGGAGAATCATTGATAAATCCTATAGGATTTCCAAATTATCCTATTGATTCTAAGGAGTTTGATATTGTAATCGGGAATCAATGGTCTCATTCAACAAATTTTGATGCAAATAATGTTACCAGAAAAGCTGTATGTATCCCATATAAGAAATCATATTGTTTCTTGCCTTTGCTACATTCATATAATTAAAACGATTATTTTATTTCCAATTCATAATATAGAAAATAATATAATTAATAATTTAAAGCTATTATACTTTTACTGATTTTATTTTGTCATATATATCGATATAAACTTTATTTATAAACATACTTTATATTTTAACAACTAATCAAAAAGATTATTTTCTTATTAATCATATTCCATTTCATGCGTGTAAAAAAATTACTCAAACATATAAAAGTACTTCTAATTTATATTATGTTTATATTATATAATTCGTCTTTGTAAAATAAAAATTGATTTTAAAATGATAACAAAGCTATTACATGTAATTTATATAAATATAAAAAGTAATATTAAAAATTATATTTAGAGAAATGATAACATTATCATAAATATATTTATATAAGTATTTAACTATTTATGTGTGTATCGATCGCTGAAGGTTTCAAACTGTGTTTCATATATATATATATATATATATATATATATATATATATATATATATATATATTAGTGATTAAATATATTAGTGATTAAATAATATCGTGAAGATCTGCGCATAATTGCGGTTTAGACGGAGTGTATACGGAGTATACCATCAAACATATAATCGCTATCAAAATTGGAAAGAGAGCCGGATTTTTTATAATTTTTTATGTATGTGCTTCTACGAGCTGTAACGAGTTGCAACATAATTTTTCCTCAAATCGGTATTAAACGTTAAGTGTGTAATATAGGTAAGTTTAATAGACTTTTATTTGAGATTATACTTAACACATAAAAAGTTTTTTTCTCAAAATCATATTATTGTAATTTATTCAGATATGTTTTCTTCCAAAAATTAAGTGCTATATATATTACTTTCTAAAAATCATTCTAATTATATAATTTCAATTTATTAAATATTTTATTTATAAGTAAAAAATTCTAACTATATCTTCAACACTGCTTGATTAATATTTATAGAAATTATTTTTATTTAATATGATTAAATTATTATTTACAACAGTTAACATGATGATAAAAAATTATATATACATATATTGCGATATTATTAATAAATTTACTTTAGAATAAATCAAGATTATTTTTTTCAAAGTGAAACATTTTTAATTTCAGAAATGTATTTTGTTGTATTTTGGAAAGAATGGAGTGCTACGATACCAAGTTGTTGGTTATTTATGGAATCCAAAACTTTCAAATGGCCACCCAAACCTAAAAATCCGACTCATTTATGCATTAAAGCAATATTACCAAAAGAAGATTGGGATACGATTCATTATACTAGATTTATAGGACCATTTGGTAAGTTTAATGTTAATTTAATATCAATTATTTTATATTCAAATATTTTTATTGTATTCTTTATATTATTTTGAAGCTACATATAATGAAGCCAGAGATATTGAAATCCAAGCTGTTGATATTTCGACTAATGATGAAGATGCATTGCAAGCACTTGCAACAGTTAAAGTAACTAACAATAATAAGCCACTTTCTGTAAAACGTGCGATCAATAAACCGCGCCGTCTTTATTCTTCTGACGAAGAAAATCAGAAATCATGTAAGCATTTAAATTCATTTTAAATTTATAAATTAATAAAAATTGTATTTTTTAATATTTTTCTCTTCTAAATATTTACATTTTAATTAATACTATTTTATAATATTTTTTATAGATGTTAAAAATGAAAAACTTCTAAAATCTATAAAAAGTAATAGTTTTCCTCATCAAGACGAAGATGAAGATAAAGAATCTGATGAAGATTCAGAAAAAGGTCTAAACTCTCATATAGTAAATCATTAAAAATATTCACTAACTAATTATACTTTAATAATAATAATATTTAGAATATTAATCGGTTCTCGAAATCAACATATAATATATATATATATATATATATATATATATATATATATTTAATAATAATGTTTGTTATTTAATATATTCACATATTTTCTTATAGATGTTCAAAAGAATTTTCAAAAACCTCCAATCCAATATATTCCAAAAAATAAGAAAAAGGAAATCATAAGCGAAGTTGCAGCAGGTGCGATGATAAAATTTTGAAGTCCCTGTTTATAATAGAGAAAATATTAGGAATATTAAATATTAAAAATAGGAATTATTTTAAAATAATAAAATTTTTAAAATAATAGACTGATATACAAATATAAATTCGGGTATAAAGGGCTCCTATACTTTTATTAAGAATTCTTTACCCGAATTTGTATTTGTATATTAGAGTCCTTTATTTGTAAGATTTTATAATTTTAAAATAATTACTATTTTTAACAATAAATATTTATTTCTAATATTTTTTTATTGTGCGCAGGATTTAAATTTATATTTGTTTGTTCGATAAAATTTAAATATTTAAATTTTGAAAAAATGCACTTAATTAAATTTTTCATAGGTGTATCAAACAGTTTTAATAATAGTGAAGAAAACAACAATTTGATAACAGTTCCTGAAAGTCTACCTCTGGAATATGGAGATCTCTTTTCTCAGGATTCATTTCTAATATTAAAAGAATTTGAGAATGAGCCAATAAACAATAATGTTAAAGAATATAATAATGAAACACAAGATATGTTTGAAGTAAAAGATGATGTAAATAATACAAATCAAACATCGACGCGACAAAATGAATTTGGTAAGTTAAAAAATACAGAAATTTGGAATAAATTTATAATAATATTAATTTTTTAAATATTTTTTAACACAATAATTTTCTTTGTAGATTCATCTCAATTGGATAACAAGAAAATATATCAATTAAAAGAGAAACCAATTATTCGTAGTATCGTTGAAACCAGTAAGCTTCATACATTCAATAAATATTAATAATATGATGTAATGTGAATTACATATATATGACTTATAAATTATTCTGTTATTTTGATAGAATTGTCGTACCTCTAACAGTTAATATATCAAAACAAATTTCAGATATTAGGCTCGATAAAAATTATGCACATCCACAAACCAATGTTGAAGGACGAAACAAACAACATACACATGAACATCATGACTTATGTTGCAGTAAATACAATTACAAATTTTTGTCTGTTCAATAATTAAATTGTCTTATTATATCTGATTTTTTTATAGCACCATGTCGTACAGATATTCAAGCAATTAAAAAAGCAATAAATTCTATTTATCTTCTTGTATTGGATATAAGTGAAGGGCCTCGCAATGATACCAATAATCTGACCTTAAACTTGCCTATTACGACAGAAAAGGAATTAAACGATATTGAAATATTGCTGAAGGAAGATGCTGTAGCTCGTTCACAATATGTAAGTGTTTTGTTATTGTATTTCAACATTTATTTAATTTTAGTGTGTGTGTACTCTAATTAAACTATGTCTTGTTAATTTATTTCTAATTAATTTTGGCATCAAAAATGTTATTACATATTCTTAATCAAAATATTATTGCATTTTACAGAAAAAAATGATTAAAAACATTGGTGGTACAACGTTTGAAAAGCATGTACGAAATGCTTTAACTGCAACCTTGATTGATCAAATGGCATATAAAATATCATGGACAGGACAAAAGAATACGATAAGCGTAAAAGAAATGAAGTTTATTGATTTGATAATTGGTATCTATCTTTTTTTGTACTATTTATTTATCATTTTCTTTTAGAGAGTATGTTTTAAGACAAATCGCTTGGATATTTATATCTTATTAATTTTTTATGAAAACGAAATGTCTTATTTTTGATTAACATATTTTATCTATACTATTTCTATAATCATTAATAATACTATTTTAAATTTCCTTTTTTTATATACATTTGATAATAGTTTACTGTATATAAAGTTAAATTTTTACTATACATCACTTTAAATAATTGTTTATAACGACAAATACATTTTTAGACCGTAAGAATATATTCAATATTAAATCAGTCAATAAGGAAACTTAATTTTAGCATGTTCATTTATTATCAATTATACATCATAATACTTAATTATGATGACAGTATGACTAAAATATGATTTGATAATAGAATTTTCTCACAATTTTTAATACAAACTTTATAAATACTGGCATTGCTGTTATATACAAAATTTTTGTTTAAATGTTTATTAGTATAATTTGGAAAGGTTCAGAATATGATAATCGAGTGCTTTATATATTCTAAAATATATGTGTGTTGTACTTATAATTTAATTTTCTTATTTCAGAAACCATAATTAATTGTCGAACTGATTCTACGATTGATAAAATACAAGCCGTTATTAAATCATGGTTACAACATGCTGGCGATCGTCTTCCTAAAGAAGGAACAAAAAAAAATAAAAATAATTTAAAATAATTTTCGTAAATCTAATTTTACTTTACATACATTTTATAATTATATGTAAAAACAAAAATGTTTTTTTAAATGATTACTATTAGTAATTTTCACTTCAAACACATTTTAGTTACGTGAAAACAAAAATATTTTATTTTTTTTAAATAATTACTAATGTTTTTTAAATAATTATTATTATATGAACATTATATAATATATTGTTAATTATTATTAGTGATTTTCACTTCAAACACAAATTTCCAGTTATGTGAAAACAAAAATATTTTATTTTTCTTTAAATGATTATTAATGTTTTTTTAAAAATAATTATTATTATATAAACATTATATAATATATTGTTAATTAATATTTTAATATTATTTATATTTAAAAAATATCAAAATAATATAAATAATAATATAATAAATAATCCAATGATTTATTTATTATTTCAAAGTAGCCATCATTGAAAAATATGATACTGAAATTAGTTTAATATATCTCTAATATAAAATGGTTTGTTTTAAATACTAAAGTCTCTAAAAATCGATTGAATTTAATTCTAGCGCATAGAGTTATCGCATTTAATGGCTATTAAACAAATTTCAGTGTCACTTTTAAAAAGCCATTTAATAATATAATTTTATGTAAGCAGATGACAATTCAAAAGAAGCTTCTGGTGAGATATTTAGCAAGCTTTCCAAATAAGGGAAGGATATATGAACGACAATATGAATATAAGGATCTCTGTCCTTCATTATCAAAACCTCTCTTTGAGGAGCTCACTAAATATCTCACCAAAAAGTTTGCATTTTTTTAGTGTTTTGAACATCTTCGAATAGATGTCTTATTAACATCATAAACGTGAACTAAAGATATCTTAAAGATATCTAATTTTAGATATCTTTTTGACATCTACTTTAGATATCTTTTTGACATCTAATTTTAGATATCTTTTTAATATCTAATTTTAGATATCTTTTTAATATCTAATATAAGATATCTTTTTGATATCTAATATAAGATATCTCAAAAAAGTTATCTGTTTGATAACTATCGGAAGAAGTCTGTTTTCCCTCTCAATGTGGCGCATAAGAGCTCTTTCTGATATCATTAAGTTATCTTTTTAAAGAAATTTTTGGATGTCCAAAACGTGAATGAGAGAACATTAAGAGTTCTTTTTGTTAACATTTTGCTGTATGGGTTAAGTCT